CCAGGCGGAAGAAATAATTCGACGATTTTCCCCCCTTAAAAATTGACTCAAAACCAAACACTGTACAAATCTGTACAAAATTACATAGGATGAAATATTAAAAGCAAATTATACATTTTCGAATAAACTTCGTAATATAGGTACTTACGTACTTAACGTAACTTACATGTTTCTCTTGTTTGGAGCAAAATATACTTAACCAAGTTGTATTACTTTAATTTTAATGTTGATCCTATTTCATCAAGTTTTCAGTCTACTTGTATTAACTAATATATGTTAAAGTTATAAAATTTATCAAAGGTCCTTCTTAATGTATGTAAAGATCTTGATTCGTTAGAATCACAGAGGGTATAAAAGATTAATTAAAATATATGTTAAACGTTAAGTGTGGGAGAGCCTTGCTTCGGCACAAATGGGTCGGCTCGATTGGAGTGATACCACGGCCTCAAATTTCCAATCCCCAAAAGGCCGGTAACGCACTTGTAACGCCTCTGGTGTTCCAGGTGTCCATGGGCGACGCCGATTGCTTACCATCAGGTAATCCTGGTCTGCTCGTTTACCGGCTTATCCCATAAAAATAGACTTGGAGCAGAAAATCGCCACTAACTTTTTTTTCATTTTATTGAAACCTCTACAATTATATCTTTTACAACAAAACGCTTCCATTTTGAAGGTAACTAAATTAACTTCTATACGAATTACGTTACTATTCATGTTGTGAGTCCCGTGTAATAGGGGGTGAGTCTATTGCCATATATTGAGATACAACTGAGAATCGAACCCGAGACCCCTTGGCCACTAGTCGCACTTACGACCACTCGGCCAACAAGGCAGTCAACTAACAAAAACAACTATTACAGTAAATAAAAGTCAATAAAATAATACAATCATAATATTCAAATAAAACAAGATGTCACGAGTTAGCTTTATTATACACTTCAGTGCCATACCTCAGACTTATATATATAACAACTAATATAATACCCCATCTACAGAAGTTAAGAACCCTGTTAAGGGTCCAGTAACAGTTTGTACAGAGAATTATAATGTCTTCCTTGAGCCCGTAAGAGTCCCCTAGAGACCGCCCTTTTGTCTGCAAGCTAAGAGGAAAGTCTTTAGTAAGAGTATATTGAAATTGCTTGGACAGACCATTGGGTATAAGTTAATAGTAATTGTACTCGGCGCGTTGTTTTGTTCGTGACTAGTAGATTTGATCGCAATTTTGTTAAGAAAATAAGTTGTTGAATATTTTCAAGCTGACCAATACATACCCACTGCAGCCTGTAATGCTCTTAAAGCTCCTCTGATGATGCAAGTGTCCATGGACGTAGCGAATTGCATCCTAATAGATGATACGTATGCTCATTCCCTACCTTAATAAGAAAAACTACCAATTAACATCTCAATAAAACACAAAATGACTGTCTCGTTGGCCGAGTGGTCGCAAGTGTGACTGCCGGGCAAGGGGTCTCGGGTTCGATTCCCGGGTCGGGAAAAGTATTAATGGGTTTTTAATAAATTCTCAGTAGTAGTACGAAGTCTGGAATTGTGCCTGGTATATGGCAATAGGCTCACCCCCTATTACATGCGACTCAAAACATAAATAGTGAAAAGTGGGTGTTACTTCTGTGTGCACCTCTGCCTACCCCTTCGGAGATAAAGAGGCGTGATGTTATGTTATGTAAAACACAAAATATTATAATTTACATCTAACAGAACTACTTAGTTACATCAGTGGTTCCCAACCGGTGGTCCGCAGAAGACGAAAATGACGAGACGAATATTGATCGCGACATAAGAAAAAAATACAAGACAGAGATGTGGTCTTGTGTTTCGACCAATTACGACGAGTTAAGCTCAAATCAAAGTTATAGAGATAACTGAGAGGATCAACTGATTTCAATAATCGAACAGTCAGTATTTATATGAGAATGAGCCTTATGCCTTACTCTGGAGAAAATCTTGGTCCAGACCACATGAAAAAGTAACAGTAAAGTGATCCTTCATTTAAGAAAAATTATAAAAAGTAATCCTTGACCAAGAGAACCTAACCTACATCAAGAAAACTACATCACTAAATCCAAAATGATAGCTATTCAGCATCAAGAATCGACCTTAATATGCACATATACCTGCCTACTTATAAACCATCTTACCGCCGCGGAAATTGAATTAAAACCTACCGAAGCTCCTAAGTTTGCGTAAATTGAATAAAATTGAATTTGATGAACACTTAGTTACTTGGTTTCGAGATAATTAACCCTGTTTGTGTTTATCGAAGTCAGCTTAAACTGTCAAACACCAAGCGGTCACCGGTGACCGCAACCTATTGTTCTATAATTGTGTCTGCAAAACCGGTATTCGACGAGTTAATTTTCAGATATATTTTTTTTAAGTAGGTAAAATCATCGAATGGCTGCTCCAGCCTGGGTGAGGTGGGAGAGAGTGTCAGACTCTTACTGACTAAAAACTTCCCCGTTCCTACTCCTGTACGTCGAGCCGCAAATTTTAAGATGCAACTATTATGCATATGTTTGAAGGCGGTGTAGTTCGTAGAATCTGTGTGTGAATAGTAAGACTGTGTGCTTTAAAACCACCATTTTGGAGAAGCTAGTTATCAAAATTACCTTATGAGATGAGTTTCGTGTAATTTGCAAGTTATGTTAGCACACTTAAGGTTACAAAACTAGCAATTTGTATTTTATAGTAATATACAATTAAGTTTATACCTGTCATTGTTACCTCTACGTATTTCTTAGAGAGAGAAAAGTCATTTCCGAATATATTTTTGTACAATTACAGATTCAAAAACACTTGTCTTAGTTTAATAAATAAAATGTCAAGTAAACATATCATTTCCTCAGGGGGATCGGTAGAGGTGCACATTACAGCACTTAATACCGCTGTATAATGTAACACTCACTTTTCACTATTTATGTTATGAGTCCCATGTAATAGGGGGTGAGCCTATTGCCATATACCGGGCACAATTTCGGACTCCGTGCTACAACTGAATTAAAAAAAAAACTCAGTAACTTTGCCCGACCCTGGAATCGAGACCTCTTGGCTGGCAGTCGCTCTTGTCACTCGACCAATGACTTTTAACATTGAATTATATATAAACATAAAGACATCATTCATTATACTATCAAAGATATTTGATATAAAATTGGATCAAAAACAATTCTCTCTTCTCGTTACATCTCTTGTTTAACAACAGGCATAATAAAAACACACGCGATTCAAACAATAATTCAATAAAATTCTTTTCTCACTACGTCATATGAAATTACCTAAATGATTGTTCACACAGCCCACAAGTAATGCGATCTCCTTAAAAACCCACACCTGCACCCTTAGTTGACAGGTAACATCGGATATTACTTAGAAGAGCTCATGTTACTTACATTTTCTTAACTAATTATGACTTAGGTGGCGTGGAGTGGGAGTAGGTTTTAGGTGCTAATTTCTAGTGATAATAAGACTTAAGTAGATATAGGAGACATTATGAAATCATTACGTAGATGTTTTCTTTTTTTGAATTTGTGTTTTTAAGACTATTTGACTAGTATTTATATAGATGTTTTTTTAAGTAACTAGCTTCTGCCCGCGACTTTGTACGCGCAATCTTATTTTCTCCTGTTCCCATAAGATTTTCAGGATTTTTTTTCTATCATAAGAACTTTCTCCTGACAAAAATGTACACAACAAAAAAAACTGCCAAATTAGTCCACCCATTCTCAAGTTATGGCCTGAGAACGGGCTTCATTTTATACATATAAATAATAACTTGTCTACATTCGATGTAATTGTTTTTCAAGTAAGACGAACCATAAACATATTTTTTATCTGTTTATTTGCGTAACAACAAAAAAAGAAACAAACAAGAAGCAGACAATGAAAACTTAAACCAAGAATTAAAACTACTTATAGACTAACCAAAATAAAACAATAAAAACATATAAAATATATTATACACGTATATATAACTAACTACTTCCGCGCGGTTTCACACGCTCTGCTCAGCTCCTATTGGTCGTAGCGTGATGTTTTATATGGTCGTAGCGTGATGCCTATAGCCATCCTCGATAAATGCGCTATCCAACACAGAAAGAATTATTCAAATCAGATTTGCACTTACGGAGATTGACGCGTTCAAACAAACAAACAAAAAAACAAACTCTTCCGTTTTATATAATAGTACCTACAAGATTATATTATTTCAAACGAGAACCAAACCCCCATTCTTTCGCAGTGTTCGTTCAGTACCAACGTGTGCTTGCACACTGAATGTCTATTGGAATCATTGTCACGATTCCGCGCCGAAGTCAAATGAAATTTGGTAGAACGTGATATGAAATTTCACTTTGTATTTGAGTACATTTAAATTTGTATCTATATTGAATGCAATTTTAGGGAACAGAGAGTATAGTTCCCTAAGATCGGAAAAGGAGGATCCTCCGACCAGGCGAGGTGATCGTGCCTGGCGGGCTTTCTGCCCAACAGTTGTTCGTTGGGATTTTCTATCCATGTTAAATCGAATGTAAACTTCGCATGTGCGATGTAGGATTTTTATGACGTCATCCGTTGACTTGTGATATGTGTCGCCACACAATAATATTTTTACTACTTTATTAAAAAGGTAGTTTTAATGGTTTTTAATTATAGTTGTTTAAAGTTTCGAGAACAAGACTGAAAAAAAATCATTTGAATTTTTTATTTCATAATTTTAGTACGTTATATTTCCCTGATTCTAAACCGCAACAGTTCAATCAAAACTAATACCATAACAGAACTAATAATGAATAAATAAACGTAGTTACCAAGAGAAAAAAATATATAATATTACACCTACACACTATTAACAGAGTAAATTCATCTGGCAACACTCGTTAATCAGCTCACACACACACACACACAACCAAATAAATAAATAGTTAACAATGATGATAAACAATACAATTTACTATTGTTGACATTAAAACGTGAACTCTTGATAACAAACTTCCTCGTTAGTCGCAAGTTGGTTCAGAAAGATGACGGCTCTAAAATTATTAATATTGTTTCCTTTAATTACTATTAAAATTGACGCAAGTGTTGTTATAAATCGATACGATGACGAATGTGTTCTGGATCCAGCTTTAGTGGCAGAAATATCATCTTATGAGAATGTTACGAAACATATTATGGACCAAATTAGGAATAATTATGGAAAAACAATGTACCAAGAGTAAGTACTATATCTACTGTTACTTATTACACACTTATATGTTAGTATTCTCCGACACGGAGCCGCGGCGAACTTAACGGGTTACCGGGACTCCGGCTCGAAATGCTGGAGTAGGAACGGGGTGGTTTTTAGTCAGTAAGAGTCTTACACTGCCTCCCGCCTCACCCAGGCGGGAGAAGTGATTCGATGATTTTCCCCCTTAAACAAAATGCTACTATTCTGGCACCGGCTTTGCTTTGCCGTGGAATAAAAATGACCTGTGTTATTCGAGATAATCAAGAAATCACCCCTTTTCCAAACATCTCGGTCCCTTCATCCATTTTGACGTGAAAGAGTGACAAATAAATATACATACTTTCGCATTTATAATATGAGTAGCATTACATTATACTAGGAATGTATGTATATTGTCAATCACATAGTTAGTAGAATGAATAATATAATAATACTACAATGTTATTTAAATATAGAGATATGTATAGTTTAATTTTATTTTATTGAACTTTCAGATACACACACTTCATAGACAAGTTTGGTGCCCGTCCATCAGGATCGTGGATTTTAGAAAATTCAATAAATCACATGATTAATCTAACCAGACAACATGGTCTGAATGACGTCACAACTGAAGAATTGGAGGTAATTATTCTAAAGCTAAAAGCTAATTAGTGAATACTTCACGATATATTGAGTACATCTGTACTTAAGATCAAATTTAAACAATATACATATATTATACAGTACTAAATCAATGGAAACAAAATGAACAAACATATAAATATAAAATACAAATAAAATGTTTCACTCTTACTCTCTTCTGCCACTTTTCTTCTTATTTCTAATTCTATTATTTAATATTAAGATGACAATATATCTACAATATTCGTAAATGCTCATAATCCACTTATGATAACTCTGCAATTGTGTAATATTTATAACGTAAACTAGTTATAAATATTCCATTTCACTACTATGTATTAAGATTTAGCTAAATTGGCCACGTACCAGGAAATTGCAGTACGTGCCGCTACAAAATTGTATCAATAATAACATCCTATCCACACTGTTTGGTTTCAAGCGTTCACTAAATTATCCTAATACGAAAATATGTTTTCTGTAAAATTTCGATTTAATGCTAATAAGTTAATAACTATCCTTTTCTAGGTTCCCCACTGGGTACGTATATTTGAATACGGCTTAATGCTACAACCTCGTGCCAAAAAAATAGTTATACTTGGATTTGGTTCCAGCGTCAGTACACCTCGAGGAGGTATCCTCGCTGAAGCAATAGTTGTTAAAAGTTTCGCAGAACTCGAAGCACTGGACAGAACAAAAGTTCAAGGAAAAATAGTAGTATTTAATGAACCCTATGTTTCTTATGGAGAAACTGTTATCTATAGAACCCTAGGGGCATCGAAGGCTGCCAGGAAAGGTGCTGTAGCAACCCTTGTGAGAAGCATAACACCATTTTCAATTTATGCACCTCACACAGGAGCGCAATACTACGAAAATAACGTTACAAAAATACCAACAGCGGCCATTACTCTAGAAGACGCAGATTTATTACAAAGACTACAGAACGAAGGAGAGAAGATTGTACTTCAAATTCAAATGTATTATACAGAAGATACAAAGAAATCACGTAACACATTAGTTGACCTTAAAGGCAGAGTAAATCCTGAGAAGCTAGTCATTGTATCTGGACATATAGATAGTTGGGACGTAGGAGAAGGTGCAATGGATGACGGTGGAGGCATGATGATTAGTTGGTTTGTTCCAGTTGTACTAAATACTCTCAATCTGAAACCTAGAAGAACAGTCAGAGCAATTTTGTGGACAGCCGAAGAACCAGGATTGATAGGAGCCCAAGCGTATTTAAAGCAGCATAAAAACGAACTAGACAAAATTAATTTTATTATGGAATCTGATGAAGGAACGTTTCAACCTTTGGGGTTGGATGTTGCTGGTTCTAAGAAAACACGTTGTATTGTACAGGAAGTTTTGAAGCAATTTGCACCAATAAATAAAATGGAAAACAGTGGGGCTCCTGGTTCTGATATTGTGTTATTTATAAAACAAAACGTGCCTGGAGCGTCATTGCTTAATAGGAATGAGCGGTATTATTGGTTCCACCATAGTGAAGGTGATACTATGGTTGTACAAAATATGACAAATGTAGTCGAATGTGCCGCTTTTTGGGCAGCATTCTCATATGTTATAGCTGATCTCTCGGTGGATTTACCACGACATTAATTGTTCTTACTTCATCAAGTCTAATTTTTAAATAATCTTTAAAGGATTGTAAATGTTATTCATTTGAATAAATATGTAAAAAATACCTATCTTTTTCACAATTACGCATTTTAAACGATGTATAATTTCTTGTTACACAGCTATTGGTACTCGATTCCAATATTCCTAATATATGCAAAATATGCCACCTAGGTATGTACCTAAGTAGTTAGTGCGTGCCGAGATGAGCTTCGGCGCGATCTCATGGCGGAATGGCAGGAACGACTATCGTAACCGAGGCCTGGGCTCGCTCAGCGTTAAGTCTTCTCTTTGAGGAGTGGTTTGAGAGACGCTACGGCGTCTTACCTTACCGCCTGATGCAAGTGCTTACCGCAGGAGGCGGAGCGCGTGAGGGAACGAACCTCCTCACGCTTCAGCCGTCGCGAGAGACACTCAGGGAGTCGGGGATCGCGAGACGATCTCCGGCCACCGTAAGCACGGGCCTGCGGACGGCGAGCACGGGTGACTCGCCGCCCAACCAGAACCAGGGCCGAGCGTGCGGCGCGTCGCGTTCCGCACGCGCCTCAAGGAGCCATCAGACCACCACAGATGGGATCAAATAGGGCTGATGCCGATACGAAGCCGCGGAGAACCTAACGGGTTACCGTGGCTCCAGCTTGAAGTGCAGGAGTAGAAACGGGGTGGTTTTTAGTCATTAAGAGTCTGACACTCCCTCTCGCCCTGACTCGGGCGGGAGAAGTCATTGGATGATTTTCACCCCGCAAAAAAGGTATCTAAGTAGTTATACTTCACATATAGTCGTTATAGCATTTAATTTGGCAAGATTCAAACTATTTACCACTAGCTCCCGTGACACTTTACGTGACTTCAGCTAGAATTTAGAAGATTTCGCGCAAAGACTATTAGTATTGCGAGTTACAAAAAGAATTATTTTCAATGATGAAAAAAAATTTTACATTATCCCATACTTTTGGAGTCTAATAAACACTGTATTATTTTAACAAAATTATTCTCCTTCTTAGTAATACCAGTATTGAACATAATGACAATATGCCTTTTATCCCTGAAGGGGTAGGCAGAGGTGCACATTATGCATTATTAGTACAATGTAACTCCCACTTTTCACTATTTATATCAGTATTGTCTGCTTCTTAACTCGTCGAGTACCGTCATTATAGACACAATTATAGAACAATAGGTTGCGGTCATCGGTGACCGCTTGGTGTTTGACAGTTTAATTACATATCGCTTGCTTGCATAAAAGAATTACTAAGAAAGTTATTTAAAAATTTCACAGCAGACTTTTCTACCCTTATCGAAACTTAAATCCCATGACTGGAAATCTGTTCCAACTGTAACATTTTCTGTCACACGAACAAATCTTAAGCCCGGGGCTTCTCTTTGTATCATCACCCCGTGAATTATGCTACCGAAGCAATCCTTTGAAGTTCAATAAATTGTGTCCCAAGAATGCCTTTTCAAGTATTCCTATCGAAGTGTTTTTGTTTACTGTAACTTTAAATAGAAGTGGAGCACGAATTTATGTGACTTGATTTTGGCATCAATAAATAATTTAAAATTACTGGTTCAGGTTTTCTGGCAATATTCTCCATCGCTTTAACTCAGAGAGTAGTTTTTAGAGAACAGAGAGTACCCTCCGACCAGGTGAGGTGATCGCGCCTGGCGGAGTTTCTGCCCAACAATTTTTTGTTAGGATTTTCTATTCATGTTTATTCGCTTGTAAACTTTGCATGTGCGATGTTGGATTCTTGTGACGTCATCCGTTGATTTTATGACATGTGCCGCCACAAGTTAAAATCAGTAGGAAAAACTTTTTTTTGTTCGGGTTACTGTTAAGAGAGTCGTTGGTAGATCTATTCATTTATTTGGGGATGATGACAGGGTATGAAAATTAAAAATATAATTAGTCCGTAACTTAGGTAATAAAAAAATATTAGACACGTATTTTTTTATTTTGTTGTATAATAAAACAATACTTAGATAAAACGAATCAAAGTTTAGGAGTGGGGGCTAAAACGTCATTTCTTAGTATAAATTGTACTGAGAAGTGACGTCACGCGACATTTCAAATCAATATATCTTCGAAACTATTCGTTTCCGTAAGAAAATAAAAAATACGTGTCTAATGTTTTTAAATAATCTACCAGACGGACATTAAAATAAAAATTAGTCGTCTACCCCATTCGTTAGTTTAGTCAGTTACAAACTTATCCACACATACCTTTTTTCAATATGGCGGGTGTGTAGACAGCCAAATATTTGTCATTCCATTTCGGTAACATTCCTCGCACCATATTGCTTATACCGCTACATTTCGACATTTCTGTTGTGACATTTGCTTGAAATTAAAGTAAACTGTATTACTAAAAGTGTTTGCAATACACACACTGTATCCTACACTTCAAATGTAGCCGTTATATAGCTGTAGTTTAAGATCATATAAATAGGGTTTTAAACTGTCAAACACCAAGCGGTCACCGGTGACCGCAAGCTATTGTTCTATAATTGTGTCTACAAAACCGGTACTCGACGAGTTAATTCTTTTACCATGTCAATCTACCCTAACGAATGCAAGAAGCATTTAGGGTTTTATAAGTCCTTTATCATGGTCCTTCAGATCATGGAGACAACCCTATCTCCATGGAGGTAGGACCAAACCGCAAGAGCATCTAAGCACAACCTCATGGTGAACAGCCGTATGCTAGCAGGTAGCTTACAACCAACTGATCTGGAAGTCATTTGGAATGGCCTATATTCAGTATTGGACGGTGTAATGATGATTATCGTCATCATGCAGTATTCTACTCTTTTCTACATTTCCTACAAATTCTCCTCTTCCCTACATTACTTAACATCGTACATCGAAATTGCTTTATTTCTTTACTTTCTTTTTATGCAGAAGCATGGATAAAGAAAGTATGGCAAAAAAATAAAAACAAAGTAACCTTTGTGTGATAAAATTTGAGGAGTCCATTACTTTTGATAGGCTGTAACCCTTTATTTGAGCTGGCAACTTTATGCTGAGCTCTCACGACTCGACGTTGTAAACTCTTGCATTATTTTGTATTATTTGAAATCGCGTTCTGAGTAGTTTAATTTGATGAAAATGTCGTATAATTTAATTGCTTTTTAGCAAAACTAATTTCTGTTTCAGTTTTAGATTTTAATTGTAAACGGAAATATGTACTAGGTACCAAAGAATATAGAGTAATTCGTATAATGAAACATATTTTTTCTTAAACATCCACAAATTACACAGTTCTTTTTTATTATAATAACATGGGATGAAATGTTCTAAAAATTTGTAGTAAAAACACCTCTGATAAACCCTTTTAAAGCAAAAAAGCGTGAAGTTATTTGCGCTTAAATCTCACGAGTCACGCGTAGGAAGCAAAGGGCAGATGTTAATTTGTAAAAACATTACTTTAATGTTATTATAACTCAGCAGTTTAAAGGTTTAAATAAAAGTAAAAAACATTCCCGAGTTTTTAAATCTTTTAGACAAACAAAAGCTACTGAAATGAAATTTTATAAAACACAAAATAAACCTCTTTGTTTGAGTCGAGTCTCGTTGACTGCCGAACATTCTGAAAGATTCCAGGTACGATCTCCTGGATAAATATGAAATCGATTAAAAAAGATCCCAATAGAAAGAATGAAGAGATTGGGTTAAATCTTTTACAATTGATTTCCAAATTGACAAATCTTACTGAAATTCTTGAAAAATTGACTTAGGGTTGTGGAATATACACTGTATGTAATAAATATTATTGGAAAGTGTGACCTCCTATTACATTAAGACTAAAAATAACAGATAGAGAAAATGATCATAAATGCACTTTAACCTACCTCTCAAGGGGTCAACAGTCATACGCCCGATTTTTTTTTATGGCATAAGCCGGTAAACGAACAGACGGATCGCCTGATGGTAAGCAATCGGCGTCGCCCATGGACACCTGAAACACCAACGCGGGCCTTTGGGGAATTGGGAATTTGAGGATTGTGGAGGATTCGGGGATTGAGGAGACTGGGGAGGGGTAGGTCATTGGGCCTCCGGTAACCTCACTCAAACGACGAATGACAACGAAAGCGTTGCTTCACGTCGGTTTTCTGTGAGGCCGTGGTATCACTCCGGTCGAGCCGGCCCATTCGTGCCAAAGCATGGCTCTCCCAGACGTGCAGGAGAAGGAACGGGGTGGTTTTTAGCAAACGACGAATGACAACGAAAGCGTTGCTTCACGTCGGTTTTCTGTGAGGCCGTGGTATCACTCCGGTCGAGCCGGCCCATTCGTGCCAAAGCATGGCTCTCCCAGACTTAAAATCTACTGAAAGGCTAGTCAATTTTGAATTGTACTTAAACATCGTGCCACCTCTGTCACAATTTATAAAAAAAATGTAGTGACAGAACTACACTAAAGCGATTAGAAATTAAATATCGTTTGAATATTTTGACAATAATATTATATACTAAAGGTTAATTCCACAGCAATAATTTGATGAGAAAAGTTACCATTTACTTTCGCCTAAACAGAGATGATCATTCATTTTTATCTGATTCTCAGTTTGCAAAGCTCGGGTCGCGAGTCATTTGTTTAACTATATTTTGGTTGGAATATATTATACTAGCTTGTGGGGAAATGAGATTTATTCTGTGTAGTTGAAGACTCATTTACCGTAACTGTTTAGAAGTTACGGAGCTAATATTTTATATTTTGAAACTCATTACGGTTTTTTTTAAGGCGGAAACTTCATCGAATGACTTCTTCCGCCTGGGTGAGGCGGGAGGGAGTGCCTGACTCTTACTAACAAAAAACCACCCCGTTTCTACTCCTGCACGTCGAGCCGGAGCCCCGGTAACCTGTTAGGTTCTCCGCGGCTCCGTAACTCATTACGTATAGGGGACAAAAAAGTCATTTATGTTGTTTTCATTCCAATTGTAACAGAGAAGAAAATTGTTACAATTTCGTATTTATTACCTACCTATGATTACAGAGTGTAATCGTAACGCTCCCGAAAAACGTTAATAG